GGGGCAGCAAAGCCACGCATGAACGATACGATGATTAAGTTATTACACATCTTCTTAGTTAAGTTTGAATTTTACAAATCGGGATTCGTATATTCCATAATTGATGAGGAACCATCGATACAATAATAATAATAATAATAATAATATTTACTTAGCAAAAAACGTGCCGATCGGTAATTGTGGCGAATGACGCGTGATGTGAGCACAGTTAGTTGCGTTAAAAGACGGGGGTGTCGAGGTACTGGAGAAGATTCAGGGGTGGAGGAGCTCGGGCTCGGGAGACAAAGGACGGCGAGGATCCGCAAATGGGTCGATACACCGGCCGGGGGATGTGACACGCGAAGGGGAGAGTAGGCTGAACTCGAGGACGACGGTGACTGAGGGCGTTGGACACTGTGTGAGGGAATCTGCTCGCCGGGGATTTCAAGGTACACGCACTTGAGGGGGTACACCGTGGGAAAGACACTCAGGGCAGACAGACACCGACATAGAGACTAGGCTACCGACTATACGTTAATATCTATCTAAACGTTTAATTAGCGTACGCACCGCGTACACATCCGGTACGCCCGCACACATCTCCGCTCGCCTTTCGCGCGTGCAATCGATTTGCGGAGGGCGCGTTCAGAAGCACTCTCGCCGTGTTTCGCTTACTTTTCTTTTTTTAATCCTCTTTTTCTTTCTCTCTTTCTCGGCTCTCTTTTTTATTATCGTTTTATTATAATCAGCGGTCGCGTCGTAGTCGTGTCTCTTTTCTTTTCTTTCTCTCTTTTTTCTTTTTATAGTAAATGCTATGTAGTTTTTATTACTCAAGCTTATGCCCAAAAATCTACCAGAGGCACTTTGGGTTTATTAGTACCATTTGAAGTCGGCGTGCGCGGGGGAGGGTACCGCACGCCCCGTTCTCTCTCGTGCGCGGAACAGCGGGCGAGCTCACGCGTTCGCGCCTCATCCTCGAGGGAAACCGCGTTGCTGCTTCTCGGGATCGTTCCGTTGACCCGTTCGCGTCAATTAAGTTGTCGTCGTCTCTCGCCTCTTTTCCCTGGTCGCGCGATATTATTACCCTGTCTGGCGATGTGTCTTCGCCACCGCGTTCGATTCTACCGCGTCCGTCTCTCCTTCCGACTCTCTACCCCGCCCTCCCCCCAATTCCTTTTCCAGTAAGCCTACTCAACAACTCCGTATCTTTTACCCGCTTCCTTACCTTTCCACCACGGTCTTCCGATGTTTTTTGAGCAATAAATACTTTCTCCACGTATAACTGCACATTGAATTGACGCACAGGACACGCACACGCACACACACACGCGCACGCACATCGGGCAGTCGTCATTCGCTACCAGCCGTACGCATTGACAGAATGTCACAATGTTAAACGCAAGAGCTGCGAGCTCGAAGAAAGCGTCGTCCGGCTTCAAGAATCACATTAGCTCCCTCATCCTCCCCCAAGAGAGTATGTAAAATCATACCAGGATCAGGCACTCTGTAGATCGGACTTGTCGTCCAATTTACAGACAACGTGGTGTGATTTGGCAATTTGTGCGTAAAGGGAATGAACAGTTGATCAGACAGCTTTGTTCATCGATGCCGGCGACCCTTCGACAATGAGAGCATCCAAATATGAGATTCCGAAGAGGCGTGTGTTGTGCGCCCTTTCTCTCGATACTGTGCAATGCTTTCGGCTCTGAATCAAACGCACATCCATTCGCGCGGCTCACTTTCACGCACACCAATATGGCTACATCCACAGAGTTAATGTTACGCTTTTAATTAATGATTATCAATTCAATATCAATTCAATATCAATGTATTACAATCAGACAATACTCAACAGTGATCGTTATTCATTATATATTACAATAATTAAGAGTGACAACAACATGACGACGGAGGCGTTGAAGCATTACAAGGGAGAAAGAGAGAAAGAGAGAGAAAGGTAGATAGAGATTGAAAGTGGTATGTGGATGAATTCTAGTAGGATGAAGGAAGAGCAGGAGAGTTTCGATGGTGGATACGCTACAAGTAGTATGAGAGGAGAGGGAGAGAGGAATTGGGAATTAACGAGCTGGACATGGAGGATGAGGGAGGAGAAGGATGGGGCTATCGATGATTATGGAATAGCGACGATGACATCGGTGATGGATGCACCACGATAGGAATGAACGATTAAATGGGCGAAATGGAACGATTGAGTCGCGGAGACCAAGGAGGGGAAGCACGCACACTCAACACAACCGTCACATCGAGCTGGCCTCGCGCGCGGCCATAGTCCATAGATTAATTACTTACTAACTAATATACAGTCTGTCTCCGTTGCGCGGATGACTCTTCTTTTTTCCCTCCCTTCCTTCCTGCCTTCCTCGCGAGCGCCGTGTAAGTATACGTAATACACCATATTAAATACGCACGTGCGCGCGGTACGGCGCTGCCGAGTTATGGAGCGTGCGACAGCGCGCTTGTAAGCGTGTGAGCGAGTGAGACTTCCTTGGGTCTCGGTAAAATCTTATTTTTTTTTGTGTGATAAAGTTATGGCAAAATAACTCGGCGCGGGATACCGTCCTACCTGCTCGCACGCGCGCCTCCTCATCGGATACTAGATATACGCACACGCACACACAGGCATGCTTGCGCCGGTATAAAGTGTATATATGTACACATATACATACGACATACCATCCATACATATATATAATATACCCATATCGTTTAATTATTTCATCGTTACCAGTAATTATCATTATCTCTTAAAATTCGTCTCAGTTCACGTAATTCAAAAAATTTCAGCTAGAGTAGCGGTGGATGGAAATGTTTCTTCGTTAAAAATCGCCAGCTCACCGAGATTCACGGCGTCGGCAATCTCGACCGTTTCTTTTTCTTTTTTAAACACATTTACAAATTATCGATCGATATCGCGGCCGATTCCCTCACTCGCGCCTCTCTCTTATCACTAGCGTGTGTTTCACATTACATTCATGTTTTTTTTTTTTAATCACTCGTGGTGCAAACGGGCGTGCGATCACCGCGCGGCGAGGGAAACGCCCTCTCATCCCGCTTTTGCAACTCGACTCGATCGTCAAGGAGTGATCGTACATTTAATATCCTATTACAATTATTCATGATTTTTTTTTGATATCTTATGTACAATTATGCGCGCACGCGGCAATGTGCTTATGATTATGGCCACACCTACGAACTGGCGACCTCTGAGAAGACTTCCTCGACACATTACTTTTAACATTTAGTCCTTTAATTAATTCCCAGTTTAACTCGCGACGCTTTTTTCTTCAGCTTCCCGTTTGGAATAACTCCAAAGTTCACTCGCGATTCACGTTAAACTGAGAAAACTGGCTTTTGCACGGAACCTGAGATAATCGATTTCAAGGTAGGCCAGTTCCCCTCGTTCGCGCCGTTGATAATTATGCCGGACCGCGATTGACCGCTCAGCAGGGTAACTCTTGACGAGCAGGTTTTGTCATGTGCTTCATGGAGTTCATGGTCATGCATCAGGGATTGTCCGCCGCCATTATATTGTGCACTTGCTCGAGCTTATACGCCAGTCTCTGCTTTTGCGAGAACTCGTCCTCCTCGAGCGTGACTATTAGTTGTTCGTTGTATTTACCCGCGTATGTATACAGTTCGTATAAAGCACAATTCGTGTTAAACTCCGTTGTGTGCAACTGAAACAAAATTAGATAGAACCATGATGAAATCATATCGAGCAAATTTCGTTCCGCCAAGTTTATGCATTACAAATATAAAAGTGGATAAATACCCTCGACTCTTCGGCAAGCATGGCATTCATGTCTTGATCGGATATGGCTGGCATGACTTTAATATCTGAGTAGTAACGCTCTACCCACTCTTTGTACACTGGAATGTCCTTTGCATATAATAGTTTTGAACTCGGAGAGTCCTTACCTAAGAACACAGCGAAAAAAAAATTTTTATACATTTCCGAATCCTGTTAATTAACGCAGGAGTAGTAATATAGAAATTGCTAAAAGACACATACCTAATCTATGGTCCGACGTCGAACAGCTATCCATGAACGTCTGCGCCACGACGGATAGACACGAGTCCACGATGTTGGACTTGTGTATATCGAAAATAAAATTGGGATTTTTTATAAGATTAACCCAAAACCTAAGGGGAAGGGAATTGCTCTTCCACGTGTGGACCACTTCCGGATCGGATATGCCGTGTTGCAGAGCTTGGTCGTCCATAAAATCGAACATGTACTTGATGGCGAGAGGTAGCGCCGAGCCTCGATGGGCAGTGCTGAATATTGTCTCGAACAGGTCGTCGACGAACTTCTGGAGCGTACCCTTGGTCGCCAGTAACCTCGTCAAATAGATCTCCGAGACCATTTTATTGCCGCGATCTCCCTCCTTTCGCGCGTCGGAATCGTGGTGTTTGACGAGGTGCCAAACCTTCATACCGGCGTCAATATTCTGATTGAGCGGCGAAGTGGCGCGAGAAAGTGGAGGACTCGCCGAACTGAACTTGCTCAGATTCAAAGTCTCGTACTTGTGCGATTTGTCCGTTTTCTCCGACAGAATTGAGAGATTGTATATAGACGATTGTTTGGAGACTAAGTTGAGCGACGCTCCGTCCGGTACCCTGTAGTGATTCAAAGTGTTCCTCTTCTTCCACTCGCCTTC